TCATCCTGGGGACCCTCACAAGCACCACAAAGAGCACAGTCAGCACTGACACTGCCCAGCAGAGCTTGCTTGGAAGCAGAGCTGGGCCAGGGCATGAAGAAGAGCACAGAATCCCACACAGACACTGCTGGCCACATACTCTGGGTGACTTCATGAGTTTGGGTTTTTTCTGCACACTTTCTATTGCATATTCCTACATCCTGCTGTAAAAAGCTACTGAGAGGAAAAACTGTGTATAATGACAGCAGTAGGGGTGTTCCTCAGTTGTCCTGGTGTTATTTCTATTTTGTCTCATGGACATACAGATTTTCAGAGGTGTAAAGCTGTTCTTGCTCACTGCCAGGGCAGGATACTGGAGTTTCTGATTATTTACTCTAAAACTGTCCAAATATTTATTGAGTCCTATCCCCCTCCTCTCCTCCACTTCCCCTCACTCCTCCCCTCATTTACTGCTTTGCAGTGCAAGATTTTCTCTTTGACTCCACGTGTTGTCTGCAAATGTAACCACAGCTCCTTCCACAGCAGGGAAGGAGCACAACAAAGTAAGATATGATTCAGCCGAGTGAGATAAAGAGAGAGGTTTGACTTTTCCTTTGAGCAGCAATTAATTAGTTTCAAAGCTTTTAGAAACCTGTATCAGAAGAGCTGAATTCCAGGACATTCCACTGAAAGACAATGTGAGGGTGGCTGAACACTGTAACAGGTTGTCCACAGTGGAGTCTCCATCCTTGGAAATGTTCAAAACCCACCAGGGCATGGTCCAGAACAAGCTGCTCTGCCTGTCCCTGCTCGAGATGGGGCTGGAGCAATGTCCTGACCAACGCCTCTGTGATTCTGGCTCACTCAAACCAAGCAGAATAAAAAGAGAAAACCTGCAAATGCCAGCTCAGCATCCCTGGTATGGAATGGTTTCCACAGTTCAATCTCTGCAGCTCTGTGCTCAGCTGGAGGGGTACAATACCCCCAGAACTCTGGAGACCCACAGATAATGTCCATCACTGCTCTCCATTGTAAACACTTCCTTTTGTTCCCTTATTGTTTGGCCAAAATTTATCTCATTTACAATTTCTCTTTGCCTCGGGCAAAGTGTTTTTTGGAAAGATTAACTGAAACCAGTGGAGCCATTGCTGAGAACAAGGGGGAGGGAATTGGGTCAGTCTATTCACATTAAAAGATTCCAACTGTTCTTTCACAGGACTTCAGTGCCTCCAGCAGTGAGGTCAGCAGAGGTGCCCTTTGCTGGGGCCACAAAAATCCAGAAAGCTTTAGAAAAAGTTGAAATCTTCTTAAAGCAGCCCCCACAGTTGTTTAGCAATGCTTGGCAGAGCCCAGCAGTTCAAGATCTCTGCAGTTTGTTCCTGTGCTAGCCATGCCCTGTGGCACACACTGACAGCTGAGAAAGACATTTAATATCACCAAATCTAGTCACAGAATTGTGACTTGGACAAAGTGTGAGATCAAATTTCATGGGGGAAGAATGTGCTGTTTAATATTGGTAGGGGAATGAGGGGATGCAGAGTGTGCAAATAAACCACAAAAAAAATTAACCCCAGGAATCTGTAACACAGGCTGCAAACCTCTCCCCAAACCCTGCCCACATCATGGCAGGGAAGGAGATGGGGTCTACAGAAAAGGCTCCTCAGAGGGCAGAGGCAGTCCCTGAGCTGGGATTCAGAGACACCCTGGGGAGCAGATGGATAGAGAAAATCCTGAGGACAAAGGGTTTAAGATGGGTTTCAAAGCTACAACAGCAAATAAAGTGAAATGAAGAGCTGGAAGAAGCAGCACTTGCAATTAACACTAAAATATGAGGAACAACCTCCTGAAATCTCCATCACAATCTCCATGCTCAGGAGAAACTGGACACAGAGAGGAACCATCAATGGGCTGGGCTGAAGCCATGGCAGGACCATGCAGGGAGAACAAGAATGCTGCACTGGGCACAGCAGGACACTGGAACAGGATCATTCTGTGCTCCTGGAAGTGCTCTGACATGGTAAGAATATGGCAGAATGTGCGCGAGCAGCCAAATTGATTTAAAGACAGCCCCCCTCAATCATATATCATGTCTAGTTTTACTTTCAGGAAACAAATGAATTAGCAAATGTAATTCTCAGCAAGGCTTGAGAAAAGCAATTTTTAAAGCCTGCGCACTCAAGCATGCTTTGAGTCTCCTGTGAGGGTTCAAAGCATCTACAGCAGCAATCTCATAGAGTTGTCCAAACACAATTATGCATAAATTTGCATTTCAGATGCTGAATACTAAAGTGCATCAGAAATTATTCAAGTTACTTTTTAAATTTTTTTTCCCAAATGCTGGGAGTAATTTTCATTTAAAGACACCCTTGAAGGAAATCCTAATCAGCCTGCAGCCATTCCTTCAAGATGAGCACTCTACAGACACAAACTGTTTCCTCAGTTCAGGTTATTTTCACTTAATACCCAGCTTGCCTATCAAAATTTGGTCTTTGTTATTTTACAATATATATTATCCTCATTTTGGAGGCTCATCCTTCACCCAAATTGCAAAGAAGAGGATCTGCTTGCAAAAGATGAGGCTGGTACAACATTAACATGCAAGTGCTTCAGCCCAGCCTCTGGTTCCACCCAAGCCAGCCAGAACAAAGGGCTTTGAAATGCAACATGCCAGTTATTTCTGATGGCTACCAGTCTATTGCAATTTCTCTTCCTCCTAATGGGATGTCTCCTATTTTTGGACCAAACAATAACTTTCCGCTAGGACGACACGATGAATTATTCAAAAATTCAAATTAGGCGTGACATTTCCGAATCGCCTTCTTTTGGCAGATCCTTCAGTCAGTTAAAAACAATAAGCCTTGTTTTCTCTGGGCTTTATTTATTCTAGCTGAGCTCTGTGGGGCCTGACTTGTAAACTCTCCTCCTCTGAGTTCTGTCAGTGCAGGGCCCCAGCCCCAGAGAGGAAGGAGCCCTGACAGCTCTTTAATTGTCAGCAAGGGTAATTGCAGCAGGATTTCTTCAGTGTAAGGCCCAGAGTGAAGTGAGGGCAGCACCAGGAAGAGCCATCAGCCCCCTCTGGCTGCTCTGTGGTCCCCCAGGTGTGGGAGGTGATGGGAGGGATACTGAGCAGGGTTTTGGGTCATGCACAAGCTCTAACTCAGCTCTTCAGGGACCCACACGTGGCCTTTGGCTGCAGACAAAAGAACTGGGCTCCAGTTTTCCAGGAGAACCCTGGTTTGGATATCAGGAAAGCTTTCTTCAGGAAAGCTGTGAAGCACTGGAACAAGCTGTGGTGCAGCCACCAGCCACAGGCTGACAGAATATTCTGACAGAATATTCCCAGCTGCAAGGGTCCCTCAAGGATTATCGAGTCCAACTCAAACCAGGGACTGACCACCCAGCCTTGGTGGGGTCAGCACCGGCTGAGCCCAAGTGCCCTGGAAGTGCCCAAAGAACCAACTGGACCTGAGCCCATGGTTTAGGGGTGAGCACGGTGCTGCTGCTGGGGTGATGGTTGGACTTGGGAATCTCAAAGGGCTTCTCCAGCCTTAAGGACTCCACGGTTCTTGGAGCTGCCATGGATGGCCTCTTAGAGCCTGCAGATGTGTGTGTGCAGCAAACACCAGATTTGCCAAACACCAGAAATGGCAAATGCTGCTCTGCTCTGCTGCTCTCCTCCAGTCTTCGCCCCAGGATTTCTCTGAATCCCAGCTCAGGGGCTGCTTCTGCCCTCTGAGGAGCCTTTTCTGCAGTCCCCATCTCCTTCCCTGCCATGATGTGGGCAGGGTTTGGGGAGAGGTTTGCAGCCTGTGTTACAGATTCCTGGGGTTAATTTTGTTTGTGGTTTGTTTGCACACTCTGCATCCCCTCATTCCCCTACCAATATTAAACAGCACGTTCTTCCGTACATGAAATCTAATTGCCACCCCTTGTCCAAGTCACAATTATATCTTGTTTGGGGCTCTGGGATTGAAACATTAAATCACTTCTGTTTACCTGTCTCAGGAAATGGAATTTTCAATTCCACTGCCTTATGCTAGAAAATAAGAGAAATCTGTTTATGATAATTGACTACATAAATATCAGCTTCTTTCAAAATGGGCTGCACACACTGACCCACCACCTGTGTCCAGGATATCTCTGCTTTCACAAGCACCAGCAGCCAATGCAGTGCACACACATCTGCAGCTGCTGCTCCAGGCTGCAGCTGGGATTTGGGAGCAGCTTGCTGCCCAAACCCCGAGCCAAGCCTGCCCCTCCTCATGCAGGGTGGGCAGCTGAAGGTTTCTTTTCCAAGCTGCCCCTGGGAGAGGTTTGAGATGTCATTCCATCTCAGGCAGGCCCTCCTGGCCCACCCTCAGCTCTCCTATGAACAGGCTGGGTCCAAGGCCACACTGTGCACACCAGCGGTGGGAGCTCAGCATCTCCCTGAGATGGGATTGTGAGAAATAGCTCCTCACCTGTCATAGTTTAGGAAGGTTTATTAAACCTTATCAAAAATACAACAGAAGACTGAGTAAAGAAAAAAGGTTACAGTGCTGGCAGCAAAAGATTTTCCCTGCCATGTGCTCAGCCCCCCTCACAATGGAGGGTTTTTCCCTTTTAACCCCTCCTTAAGTTCTATCAACCCCTTCTTTGCTGTCCAGTGGTGGAGATCTCTTCCTCAAATCCTGACTGGAGGTCAGGGTCACCATCGTGACAATCTGACCCTCCCAGATGTCCCTTGATAACCACGTGAGGGGATACAACATAACTATAAATCTACCAAACTTTTCTTAACCTATATACATGATATTTGTCCATTAATTGTGAGAGCCAATCAATGCATTACTCATCTATCACAGGATCACAGCCTGCCACTCTGGAAATGATGGAGCAGGGGATGCCCCAGGACCCAGCTGTGGCATGAGGGGGAGGCAGGGCAGTGCTGAGGCTTTGCTCTGCCAGCTCCAGGCTGCATTGCTGTGCTGCACATGTGCCTCCCCAAGGGATGGACAGCAGCTGCCTGTGGGGAGGGGTCCCTGGGGGTGACAGGGTGGCGAGGGAATGATCTTAGAGAGCACCAAGACTGCCAGGCAGCTCCTCACTCCCTGGCTCATCCCTAAGGGGCAGAGGAGCCTTTTCTGTTTTGTACCACTGAGTGCCTGGGGGGGATGCAGAGGTGACTTCTCCTACAGTGGATGCAGCGTCAATCACAGCCCTCCCTCACACCCTGCAGAACCAGAAATCTGCATCCCAATGGGTGGGGCAAAGGCAGCAGCCAGGGGGGCACAGACACCCCTGTCCTGGGCAGAGACAGGGATGAGCTGATCCATGGGATCCCTGTCTAAAGCAGAGCAGATCCATCGGATCCTTGCCTGGGGCAGAGCAGATCCATGGGATCTCTGACTGAGGCAGAGTTTGGTTCCACACCAGTTTGGAGATCAGCTGCAGTGGAGCCCTATGGATGGGGACTCCTGAGCATGTGGCTAACACCCAGCAAGGGAATTGCATATTTTCTTGTGATTTCAGCCTTTTTCTTACAGTTCTGGACATTTTGTGCATTCACACAAAGCCAAATTTTGATTTCAGCTCAGCCTGTGCCTCTAAGATATTTTGTTCCAAGCTCCCCCCACTCCTGGACATTTCATGCAAAGGTTAGATTTTTGGCTCACCTTTAACTAGGCCATGTCTCAGTTTGTGAGTGACCTGCTGCTGCTGTGGCACAATCTGGGGTGGCCAGAAGTGCTCATCCACGGTTCCCACAAGCCAGGCACTGCTGTGGGACACTGTGTCACTGCAAATCCTCCTGTGAGCCCTGTGGAGCCAGGCTGGCTTTGCAGCCAGCAGCAAATTCTTCCCTGAGACCTCTTTTATTCCCTGAGCAGCACCCTGCAGGATTTTCCAGCTCTCCTACTGATGCCTTGAGATTTCAGCTTTTATATTTATCAAATCCTATGGTGTATTAGTGTATAACTCTAAACTCCATATAAAGTGTAGTCAAATGCCTTCACATTTTGGTCAGACAGAACAATCCCTCTGAGATCCATGGACAAATCACAGGCCCTGAAAAGTATAAACAAATGTGAATTGTGGGGACAAAACTGGGGGAATGTGACTTCATTACCTGAAGCTGTAATTGGATAATTAACCCCTGATGTGCAAATAGACCAAACTGATATCTGTATAAAAAACTTGTGACCATTGTGATGCCTTCAGTTTTATCATTCATATTTCCCAAGCTCTGCACTGCATTGGGAAATAACTCTGAACTCCACAGAAAGTGTCAGCAAGGTCTCCTCACAGCTCAGGCACACAGAACAATCCTTTTCCAGCCCCAGAACCAAGGACACAGCTGCAGCTTCAGCCCCAAAAGGTGCAAACAACAGGGAATGGAGGAGAGCAACCTGGGAGGGTGGGACTGCATCACCTGGATCTGGGATTGGGCACTGAACCCAGCATGGAAATGGACCAGAACTCATCAAAGGGTGAAAACTCCTGTCTCTGAGTCCATCCTGGGTCCATCTTGGGTGCAGCCCTGGCTGGGCTCTTGCACTGCCCAAGGTGGATCCTTTGAGGCTTTTTAATAAATCCCCGCTTTATTCCTTTACCTCTGTCCAGCCTCTGCTCCAGGAGCCTCTCCATGCATCAATCACCCATTCTAGGTGCAGCTCTGCAAGGCTTTGCAGTGCCCAAGGTGTTCCTATTGAAGACCTTTAATAAACCCCCAATTTATCCTCTTTTCTGTGTTTCAGGAGCCCCTCAGGCCATCGGTACCTTCAGGCCCAGCTCCAGCTCGCCCAGCGAGCGCCGCATTTCGGCCGTGAGCGCATTCATGCGCTCGCACTCCTGCAGGGCAACCACGGCGTAGGGAGTCCTCTCCTCCAGCCTGGCCAGCAGCTCTGCCATGTTGAACTCGTCCGGGAGCTTCTCTAACATCTCCTCCAGGAGGGTTTGCACCTGTGCCAAAGGGAGGAGAGAGAGGGGGATGCTGGTGAGGGATCCACAGGCTCACAGCCTGAGCTGGGAGAACTCCCTCTGCCCTGTCAGTGCCTCCAAAACCATCGCTGTCAGCCCTGGGCACCTCTCAAGGAGCTTGCCCTGTCCTATTTAAATCCAAATGATGACAGAAGTTAATGTCAGATGAGCAACTTGCAAAATGATGGTTTTAAAATGTCCCCGTGACATGTGGCAGCCTCCTCTCTTCTCGGCTCTCTCATTTCTCCCGAGGTCACACTCACGAGGAGATGGATGGGGCTGGAGCCTCAGCTGAGCCTCAGGACAACTCAGCTTATGAGCTGGTTTTCTCTGGTGTACTGATGGAGAGAGGTGATTACATAAAATTGAATTTTAAGCTGAATTTGGCATTCCGGACTAATGGAGCCACGGAAGGAAAGCATAACGAAACAAAATTATTTTCTGGTCACCACCACAGCTTCTTCAGAACTATACAGGGAAATCTCCAATGCAAGAAGATCTTTGTAGTGTCTAAAAAATTAAATAAACTTCTTTCTGACAGTGAGGCATGAAGCCCCTGCTGTCCCTGGGCTCAGCTGCATTTCCCAGGTTTAATGTGGAAGGTCTTTGCTTTATTTCTGAGCTGGAACCTGGGCAAGACTTCTGCTTGCTGGCACCTTTTGGGCACACATAACACAGTTAAAATTCCATGATCCTAAGTGCCAAACCTGGCATACAGGGCCAGTGCCACCTAGGGCAGGGTAATCTTACAGCCAGGGCCACCAATATTCACATTTTGGACTCTGTGCTCCAATTCCCTCCTGTTGCTGCTCTTCCCAACCCTGTCAGCAGTGATGATGTGTGGGCTGTTACTGCAGCCACACAGGTGGCTAAAGCTGGAAAAACTCCTCAGCTGCACCTCAGGGGCACCACAGAAATATCTGCTCATTTGAAATTCCCCTGCAGGTCCCTGTGGCTCTGATTCCCTCTCAGCAATTACAGCTCGTTTGCTGTAGTGTGACCTCAGAGGTCTGTGGGAGGAACTGGACTTGTCAGAGCCTCGGGAAAATGACAGGCTCACATTTTCCCTGGGAGCTCCCTAAAATCACCTCAGCCAAGCCAGGGCTGGAAATCCTTCAGTGGAGGAGCTGAGACAAGGCTTTGCTCACTCCCATCCAAGGGCCAAGTGGAAGGGACAGCTTGGATAATGACAAGGATCACTTCAGGAAGAAAATGAGCTGTGGGAGTGTGTCCCCAGGCACAAGGCAGGGCACACTCTGCTTGCTCTCAGGCAGATTTTATTCCCAGACAGAGCCATGAGGACTTCTGTGCTCCTGTGAGAGTGTTCTTGACTGTCACCAGCAGTTTGCAGGGTGACCATCACCTGTGCCACCACTGCTGGGGCACTCCCTGGAGGATCGTCTGGCTTCTCTGGGCTGAGGAGTTTATTTGTGGGAGGGGAGAAGAGGAACTCACATTTGCTCTCTCTGAGGATCTTGTTTGGCTTTGCTACCCCTGGATTATTCCCATCACCTCAAATTCGAGTATGAACTGAAAATTGACCATGCTGGGCACTTCTAGAAGCCCCTTAGGGAAGGCAGTCAGTTCCCCATCTTCACAGCAAGCCAAAGGAAACTCGTGTGAAACCACAGCTCTCTATGAGCTGCAATTAGCCACTCATTAAATTGCAAATCTTCAAGCACAGAGCTGGCACCTTAAGACTGCAGGAGTGAAAACCTGAGCATGTGTTGGCTGATTCCAGATCTTGTCAGGGATGTTTGGGCCGTGTTTTAATGAGCTGTGAGTTTCCACAGGGAGAGCTGAGATCAGCCCAGGACACAGGTGCAGCAAAGGAGTTCAGCTGGAAATAAGGAATTACAAGGCCCTGGGGAGCTGGGAGACACGGTGGCAGCAGCAGGAGGAGGGCTGAGCTCTGGGTGGCACACTGGGGGTGGCAGGCAGTATGCCAGGTGCCCATTGCTATGCCAGTCACAGGTCTGCACAGGGACAGCTGCTCAGGGAAGGTTTATTTGCAGCACCTTCAGAGGATGATAACGAAGGCTCTGCAGAGCACGGGGTAATTAAGAGGCACTGTCCTGTTACTGCCAACACTCAATTACATCCCACCAGGGTGATGTTCTGCATAAAACCAGGCTTCAGGCAGGCAGAGGCAGAACACAGAACCATGGACAAGACTGATGGATGACACAGGCATCAAACCCCAGCAACTGCCCCCGAGCACTCTCTCCATCTTTTCCTGGGTCCCCAGTGCTCCTCTGCACTCTCCCCATCTCCTCCTGTGTGCCCATTCCCTCTCTGCACACTCACCATCTCCTCCTGGATCCCCATTGCCCCTGAGCAGTCTCCCCATCACCTCTTGGGTGCCCACTCCCTCTCTGTACTCTCACCATCTCCTCCTGGGTGCCCCTGAGCACTCTCCCCATCTCATCCTGGGTGCCCATTGCCCCTGAGCACTCTCACCATCTCCTCCTAGGTCCCCACTCCCTCTCTGCACTCTCCCCATCTCCTCCTGGGTGACCCTGAGCACTCTCACCATCTCCTCCTGGGTGCCCCCAGCTCCCTGGCCTGTGCTGCTGTCACGGGGCTGCAGCTCCAGCACGGTGCGCAGGAGCCGCTCCGAGCGCTGCGTCAGGAACCCGATCTCGGCGTTGGGGTGGAGGCCGTACAGGTAGGGGGACTCTGGAGGCAGGGCATCATCTATGTACTGCACAGAGACATCCAGGAGCATGTTAGGAACAGCCCAGGGCACTTTGCCTGCAGAATTTCAGTCCTGGAATCATCCCCCCAAGAGGTCAGCCCAGGCTGAACACCAGGGAAGTGATGGAGGAAGGAGAGTACAAATGTTTACAGAGCTGCTTCTGCTCCTGCTGGGAAAATTCTGTAATTGCTGGAGTTCAGCTTGGCTCCGTGTCTCAGGCTGGACCTTCTCTAGCAATTATCTGCTGTGCATTTCAGCATCAGCATCCTGAAATCTCTTGTGGGAATTGAGCTTCCAGTAGTTAAGTTTTACGAACAAAACCAGCCTGATGTGCCTCTGCATTTGTGTACAAAGAGCAGATGAGATCAGTAAGTAGATCAACAAGACCCTTCAGTGATTCTCATCAAAACTAATGATAAAAAGAGCTTGAAAGGGCCATTTTAGCAAACAGTATGTGGATGTAATTTTCCAGGAGCCCCACTTAAGTCTCGAGCACCAATACAGTTGCTCTATTCATGCATGAACAGAATGAGCCCATGATGAAGTAGCAAATTACCATTAGACTTGGTTCATCCAGGGGAATGCTGAAACATCCACAGGAACAAAACATAATGGGAAATAAGAGGAACGGTGCAGGAGCACTGCAGCCCTGTTCCTGCCTCCTAAGGCAGATTATGGGGCAGTTAGGGAAGACATTCCATTTACATGTATAAATAATGCCAGCAAACAAAGAGCTTACCTGGTGATAGCCATTATAATCCATGTTCCCTGGGAGGGGAAATCCAGGAGCAAGGCAGAGCTCTCCCTCCAGCATTTCTGGCTTGATAAACTCTTCCAGGTAGGTTCTGCAGAGCCGCCTGTCCCAGTCATCCGTGATGTGCCCTCCATACATGATCTCACCCACGAGGTAGCGCAGGTCATCGTAGGGGACCTGGGCGTGGAGCAGGCTGGACTGAATCGAGGCACTGCCCTGCACCCTCAGAGCTCCCCCCTCAGCAAACAAACAGCAGGCAGGAGTTAAACCCTGCCCCAGCTGGGGCACAGCACAGTGCGGGTGGCACTGATGGCTACCATCTCCTCCAGAAGCACCCTGAACTGTGAAGTTCTAAACTCAAAGATGCCAAGGAAATGGCTTCAAAGCCCCCAGAGAGCCCCACCGTGGTGCCCCCACCTTGGAGCTGGCCTGCAGGTAGTTGTAGAGCACGTTGACAGAGATGGTGAGGTCCCCAGTGCTGAAGGGGTACGGGCGGTTCCAGCCCTGGGGGCCAAACTTGCGCCGCTCCGCCACCACTGCGTGGAAATAGCACAGGGCAAAGAGGATGCTCCTGAACTCCTTTTCCTGGCTGCACATCTCCAGGGTGTCCTGCAACACAGGACAGCTGCCCTCAGCCTCAGCAACTCCCAGGGAACCCAAACATACCGGGCTTTGGACAGGGTGAATCACAGAATCAGAGGTCAAGGCTTGGAAATGCCCCCAAACCATCAAGTTCAGCCTTCAACCAAATATCCCCATGCACAACTAATTGTGAACCGTATTTTTTGAACAATTCCAGGGATGTGTCTCCACCGCTTCCCTGGGCAGCCTGTTCCAGAGCTTTATCAACCTTCCACTTTAGAAATTTTTCCTAACATCCAACCTGAACCTCCTCTGCTGCTGCTCGTTACCCGGGACAAGAGGCTGACCAAATTGTCCTTCAGTTCATTTTGTATCACACATGTGATACAGAACACACCCATGTATTTCAAAGTCAGTGGCTTTGCATTGCAGATTTATTGGCAAACTCTAACAAATATTTTCTGCCTTAATATTTGCTGAAGTGGCTTTGCACAGGAACACACACAGGGAAGCAAGGACACATGCATCCACTCAACGCCCCATCACCTGCATGTGCTCAACATCCCTCACCAGGAAGATGGGGAGGGAGCCACAGAATCACAGAATTCTCTGCTGGAAGGGACCCTAAAGTCCATGTTTTTCCAGCTCCTCTGCCATGGGCAGGGACACTTTCCAATATCCCAGGCTGCTCCAAGCCCTGTCCAATGTTTATCTTTAAAAAATGCCATGTTAGACCTTTAATCCTCTGAGACCACCACAGAGCCCAGGATCTATGCAGGAAAAGGGGAATCCATTACTCTAGAGGATGCAAGACATTGACCAAGTGCATGTGACAATCAAGAACATCCCAAAACCTGTTTATCCCTGAGTTGGGCAGCACTCTAAGCTCCCTTTAACAGCACTGTGAGGAAGACCTGCTTCAAATATGTGCAGAACACCTTTCTCATTTCAGGAAACATCCCCAGAACAACCCAGTTCATTCTCATTCGGCCTCTCTTCAGTTGTCAATTCTTCTTCAGCTACAAAGCAGAACAATTTCCCCTGCACAGAATAAAGGGCCTTCTTTGTAGCCTTCAGCTGAAAGCTAAATTTGAACATCTCTTCTGTATAAAGCAGGGAAATGAGGTGTAAAAGGGACCCCACCCACTCGCTTCAGGATTTCTGATAAGAGATGTTTCATAATCCTCCAGCAATTTAGAAAATGTTAATTACTATTGATTGAAATGAGCAGAGGCAGGATGAAAATGTTACTTGGGGTTAAGGTTCTCCCCTCCCTTGTTCTCCAGGACATTTAGTGGAGCTCAGGATGATGAATGGCAGTAGATAAGTATGGAATAATCTTCCTTGACCACTGGCATTAATCCTTGCATGGTGCCTCCCCCCACACCTGCTCAGCAACATTCCCTCCTGTTCTTGGGATTCTCTCCACACCAAGATACCAGTGCAAAACCAGCTGTGAGCTGCCCTATGACCCACAACTGGGGCTGCTCTTGTCTCATCCCAAATAACAAGAAATTTTATGGAGAGAATCTCAGAATGGCTAAGGTTGAGACCCCTGTGAGCACCGTCACGCTCCCACCTGGCTGAAGTTGTCCAGGGCCTTGTGCAGGTTGGCGTGGATGCCGGTGGGCGCCTCGCTGGTGATTTTGATGGAGTTCTGCAGGATGCCCTGGGGGATGATGTGGCTCTCCGGGCATGGTGCCGACTCCGCGCTCAGAAACACGCGGAAATCCCGGTGGCTGCCCTGGCTCAGCTGCTCCAGCCTCTTCTCCAGGGAGCTCAGCCACTTGGCCACCAGGTGGATGTTCTGGCAGGGACAAAGGGACAAGGCTTGCTCAGTGCCCCCATTACACCCCCATGGGCTGGGCAGGCACCAAATCCAGCCCACTGATGGATGCTCTCTTGTTGAAAATTGCAATGCAAGATGTTTTCCATTATCATCTGTATGACAGATCACCTTTTGTCAAGTGGGCAGTTTGCCTTATCTCTCTCTTTGGGTTCATTCACACTTCCCTTGGGAGGGGACACCTGCTGATAACAGCTATTGAATGTCGCTGCATGACTGATAAGAACTACAGCACCCAACTGGGAGATGTGAGCCCAGAGGGAGGAGCCAAGTATTCCTACCCAGATATAATCCAGAGGTTTTGAGACACCAGCATGGCTTCTCCACTGGATTCCCCAGAGGAACAGCAGCTGCCTCTTCTTCCACTGGATCTTCAGAGGAAGAATACATCCTTCTCTACAGCACCCCCTCGCTCCAGCAGAACCACCCTTGACAATGCAGGAGGGCTGAGCCACAATTCCAATGGGACTGCTGCCAAACCACCACAGACATAATAAGCAACCTTAAAACCAAAACCTGAAAAGCTCTAACTTCTTCTTCAAGCACTGAGCTGAAAAAGGAAACTTTCTAACTTATCTCAAAATCACTCTAACCAACTAAAAATCTGAATACAGGGGTGTCTGTGTGCAGCTCCCAGCCCCAAAGAGCCAGGTGCAGCAAGGACATTTGAAAATTCAAAATAATCAGTATAAATCAGCAAGTCACAGCTGGGCTGGTTGGGCTCTTGGTGCTGGAATTCTCCTCATTTCAGCAATACCAGCTGAGGCTATTCCTGGGGAGAAAAATTGTTATTCCTAGGGAACAGAGCTGTTATTCCTGGGGTGCAAAGTTGTTATTCCGGGGAAGCAGAGTTGTTACTCCTGGGTGTAAAGCTGTTACTCCTGGGGAGAAATTTGTTATTCCTGGGGAGAAAAGTTGTTATTCCTGGGGAAGCAAAGCTGTTATTTCTCCCCCCAACCCCACTGAGCTCAGACAAAAACATTTTGATCATTTTGATCAGAATTACAGTGAGGACCTTCCATAGCAGCTCCTGGGCAAACAAGTCAATCAGGTGATTTCACAAAGTCTTTTAAAACAAAAGGATTTATATATTCATGCAACTAATTGGACACATCCCTCAGAAGATTAAGCAGAATCATGGGGAGATGGTGAAATGGATGAAGTTAAGCCTCAGTTTTTCCCCTGGAGTCCTATACAGCATTATAGTTTCCAGGCAAGAAAACAGCTTTTTTGTTATATTAGGAATGGGATTTGTGGGCTAAACTACCCTTGTGTTGAAGGCAGGTGTGCAATCCAAACTGGCTGTGTTCACAGGCACTTGGGATGGTGATTTATCCCAGCCCAAGAAAGGACAAGGAACTTGCTAAACCTAAATTAAAAGCAGCCGCCAGAAAGATAAACTGCTTGGAGGTGGCAAAGAAATTACATAAAGGAACCATATTAGAGGCTGAGAATAAATATATATCACCTATAACTGGGGGCAGAAAGAGCTCTAATGGTTAAATAGCAGAGTAATGGAGATTATTAGGAGTAAAATTACATTCCTCAGAAAGTGGAAGTTGTGTCCAAATGAGAAAAAACAGAAAAGAGCACAAAAGCCAGCCATGGTAAAGTCAAAAAGTACTTACAGGAAGCAATTTTTTGAAAACCATAAAAGCTAATAATAAAGCCTTTTCCAGAAACCAGGAATCTACCAGAGAGTCTATAAAACTGTAACATGATCAAGGTCGGCAGGGAGAGCCCATGGAAGGCCAGGCCAGCCCAAAGCAGCCCAAATGTGCAGGAATTTTCCCTGGGGAGGCTCTCACTGGTCCAGCCTGGTGGAATCACTGAAACCCTGAGGCTGGAGATGCCCCTGGACATCATCCATCACACCCTCCTGCTCCCAGCAGGGTCACCCAGAGCAGGTTTTTAACTGGGTCCAGTTGGAGTATTGGATTTTTGCAAGGCTGAAGTCTCCACAGCATGTCTGGGCAATGTGTGCCAGCGTTCAACCACACTCACAGTAAAAAAATTAAATCAAAAAATAGTATAAGACAGTGAAATGAAATGAAAGTTTAAGGGAAATTTGCATCTCAATTTTGACCCTTTGCTTCTTGCTCTTTCACACTATGAAGGTTTTGACTCCCTCTTCTACCAGAAGGGATTTAAACACACCAATAAACTAAATTTGTCCAAATCCCAGCCAAACCCCAGCTTTTGGAGGTTAAATCACCCCAGCCTCTCCTCATGTAACAGATGCTTCAATCCCTTAATTGTTGCAAGGACTCTTGAGCTGAAGCAGCAGATGAAGAGCTGTTCAGAGGAGTCCATGAGGTAATAAATGAAAAGAGGTCTCTGGGAGCAGATGGGGTCACCCCAAAGGACCCCACATGCGCAGGTGTGCAGCACAGCTCAGGAGGCAGCAGCCAGCCTGGCAGGGGCTCCAGCAGGACACAAGTCACTCCCCAATGTCACCCTGGTTTTTTAAGATTTTCTAAGCCTTCTGATGTTGACATTCTTGTAGTGAACTTTCTCACACACTTTTTATAGATAACTCATTGTTTTGCATTCCTTTATGGAAGAGGAGAAAGTAGATGGACTGTTGGTTTGACCAGCGTCATTGGAGAGGTGGCACTGCCACCCTCCAATCCACTGTCACTTTTGGAAATCTATAAATGTTGGAGTCAGATAATAAACTTCCCTTTTTTCTTCACCTTGAGAACAGCAGTGTACACTTGTGTTTTTTCATGTCCTATAGTAACACCCCAACAGCACCAGCTAGGAAAGAACGGCAATCTGAAACTCCAACCCATTTCAGAGAGCTCAGATATTGTGAGGATATCACAGCCTGGGCTGGTGTGTGGGTGGGGTGGGGTGGAGGTGATGCTGTTGTCCCCAGGCAGGGTTTGAGCTGTGCTGGACACTGGAGGGGTCAGTCAGCCCCTGCTGGGCAGGGTGGACATGGCCAAGGAGCAGCCTGGGGGACAAGGAGCTGTCCCAGCTGTCCCCAGCGATGTCCCAGCCCATGGAATCCTGCTCAGCAGGAACAGGAGAAAGCAGGAATGTTGGCAGGGAGGGTGTTTGCCTTCACCAGTCACCACGGGATGTGACAGAGCCCCCGCCTGCCTGGGGAAATGGGGAATGAATTCCTTACTTGGCTTCCCTGCCTGGGCAGCTTTGGCTCTTCTTACTGCATTGTCCGGATCTCAATTTCATTTTTAACCCCATATTCTGCTCCCTCCCACCCCTGGGCAGTGAGGGAGCAGCAGGTGGGGCCAAGTTCCCACCTGGGGTTAACCGCAGCAGCTCATCCCCATGAATTCCATTTTGGGGGCTGGAGAGGGGGTTTCGCCAGACACCCCCACACCAGCAGCAGGCCCTGCACAGAGCAGGAATTGTCTCTGTGGGGTCCCTGTATCCCCAGACGTGGATTTTGATCAGTACCAGCGCTTTATCTTCCCCAAACCAGTATTGCTGCAGGGAAAAGGGAAAATCTCACAGGCTACCAACCACTTAAAACACAGCCAACAGGGGTAAGGAGGCTACTGATGGAGTTTTAACTCCTCTCCATATCAAAAAAGCAGCTGAAAGAGCAAATGATTGGTGAGCTGACAAAATAACTCATAAGACAAAGCCATTTGAAGTCTTGCAAATAAAGGCTGGTAGTGAAGAGTTGCAGGAGGATGCCATCATTCTCAGTGACTGGCAATGACACTGCAGCAGGAATTCACTGGTGATAGATGCAAAGTAATGCACTCAGGAAAACAACCCCAGCTACAGATACACACACTGATGGCTTCAAAATTAACTATTATCACTCAGGGAAGAGAGCTTGGAGTCCTCTCAGTTATTTCCTGCAAATAACAGCTCAGTGCTTGGCAATGCAAGAGCAGAGGGACAGAGAATAAAGCTGCAAACGGGATTTTGCCACTCCATAAATCCATGGTGGGCCTTCATCTTGTAAACAGCACCCAACTCCCACTGCTCTTAAATCCTGCAGGATTTAACTCCCACAAAAGCAGACACTCCATCAGGAGGGACTCACTCATTGGAGAGAGCAGAGATGGGCTGGAGGGAGGGTGTGAAGGGTGAGCAGAGCAGGCTGCAAGAAAGTGGAAGTGCATTTTCATGTGACACAGAACTAAACTGCCAATTTACTGCTTCAGGGTGTTTGGGGACTTGAGAGAATCACAGAGTGCAGCTGAGCTGGAAGTCACAGAGAGAAACAGAATTGTTAATGCTGGAAAAAAGCTTTAAAAAAAAAGCTTTAAACTCAGCAAATCCATCACCCCAGCAGCACCAGCATGCCCAGCAGGAACCCAGGTCCCCAGTGCCACAGCCACAGGGGTTTTGACCCCTTCCAGGGGTGGTGATCCCATTATTGCCCTGTTCCAGCACCTCTGTCCCCTTCCCTGAGGCTGTGGATGTGCTGGAGCTGGGCTGGGAGTGCCAAGGGCTGGTGCCACACAGGGACACCCAGGGACCCCTCATGTGAGGACAGAAACCCCTGCTGGCTTTCCAGGTGAGCCAGGGATGGCAGATCCCAGCTGGGAGTGCAGAACAGGATGAACACTGTGGAAAGGAAAAGCTGAGGTGCTTCAGGCTGCGACAGAGTGGTGGCTGCTGTCACTTCTGTCAGGATCTGAACCTGCCGGAGGGATGGGTCAGCTCTCAGAGAGGGGGTGAGCCAAGAGAATTGCTGTTGGGGGGAGCCATTGACACTTTGCTGCCTCCAGTTCTGCTGCCCCAAATTGGATTGATGTGGCTGGGAACAGTATTTTTACTTAGAACTGCAGAAATTCAGTCTCCTCAGCTGAAGTGATTTAGGGTTGTGCTCACACTGAGTGGATGAGATGGAGTTTGGGGTGTGGGGAGAGATGAGAAGAGATGCCTGGGCAAAGGGATTTCAGAATTTCAGGATTTTGAGAGATCAGATGAGAGGAGATGCCTGGGCAAAGGGATTGTTCTGGAGTTGTTTT